ACACACACACACACACGCACACGCACACGCACACACACACACACACACACACACGTTCAACATCATACATACAACAGCAGTTCATACAGCATCTGTATATTGTCATGACAGATGCATGAAGCTTACAAGGAATTGCTGTAATGGCCCAAATACATTTTAACAAACCAATTATGGGCGGGGGGGGGGGGGATGCTAAATTAAAGTGACAAAAGTCACAAGACTTTTGATAATGTAAATTTGTGGGGTGGATTAAAGAACGGGCCGCGAGCCATATTTTGCCCACCCCTTGTCTTGGGGTCTTAGTAGACAGTGCAATGAAGGCACTTTACTGAACATCCCACTGGTCTTAGGCAGCCACACGCACAACAAATACAACAAAAAGCTCATCTTTCCCACGAGCTTCAGCAACCTCCTTTAATGAGATGATCAAGAAGACAATCACATTGCATCTGATGAACACGTGTTCTCCTCATTTACCTGCTCTCTCATCTCCACGCTGGCCACCCAAGTGTGCAGGATGTGATCTAATACTTCAACTAGGAGGAATCAAACTCACTAGAGATTAAGAAGAGAAAAAAAGTATCTTTTAGGAGAGTCTGGCAGGCGCCCAAAGCTCTATTAGCAGTTAATACTAACTGACAGGAAAGTCCAACAGTAACAGCAACAGGAAGAGGAAACACCCCCACCACAACATCCTGGATGGTTTGTCAGTGTGAAACTGGATATTTTCAGAAGCTGCATTTGAGCCTCATAGCTGGCATACACATGGCATACAAACATTTGTTTAAAAAAAACATACTCTATTTTCTTTAAGTGCACTTCACAAAATGTAAAAACCTGTGCCAATGGTTGACTTTCCCTGAAGTGTTTCTGTTACGTGGACCCACACACCGACACAACACTAAGCAAGAACATGACACTGCAGATGAAACTACTGTCTGTCCGTTGGCCCATAGCAGCCCCGGTTAGCTCGTGAGTTACAGTAGCTGGTGGCTCGAGTCTCTCGTTGTGGCAAACAGTATTTAGTTGATTTAACAGGAACTTAAATGACAAACTGTGATATTCTGCACTTGTTTTAGTGAAAGTAACTGAAAAATCATGCAAGTAGCCAAACTGAGTGGCTCTCAAACTGGGATCTGTGGCTCACTGGAGGTCAGAGAGCTGAAACCTGTCGGGGTCAGCAGAATAATTTGTAATAAATTGTGCGATAACATTTTTTTTAAAGTGCATACCTCCATATGGGGACTGCCTGAAGAGGCCTGGGATAGGCTCCAGCATGCCCATGACCCTCATCAGGATGAGCGCAAGAGAAAATGGATGGATGGATGGATGGATGGATCTTATATTTTTGCAAAGTTTGGGACCCCCTGTGCAACTACTGTATTTTTCTGGCTAAAAGTCGCTCTCGAGTTGCACAAGTCAAAAAATGCATCCTGATGAAGAAAAAAAACCCAAATTGTTCAGGAGTATAAGTCGCATGTTTGGGAGAAATTCATTTTACAAAACCAAGACCAAGAACAGTCGAGCTTGAACTCAGACCCAAAATCACGTACCCATAGCGTGGGTGCATTCGGAAACACGCTCTGAGCATGCCCTGCTTCAATCCGACCATTAGGAAACGCAGAGTGTTGTTCAATCGTCCGGTTCAGTGTTTCAGAGTGCCCCCAAAAAGGAGTGCTGGAGCCCAGTGTGTCAGGCAGGACAGATGCAAAGAGTTAAAGCACGATCTGCCGATTGTTATATATCATGCAGTACAGTGTGTTGAGAAATGAATGGGAGAAGAGCGCACTCTGCCTCTTCGAACACACACACACACACACACACACACACACACACACACACACACACACACACACACACACACTCTCAGAGTGGTGTAGGACGTCAGACTGAATTTCCAAACGCACCCTGTGTGACAGCAGCAAACAGACTCCGGTTGGACAAAACTTCTGCTTCTAAATATGGAAAAGTTTTGTTTTTAGTTTAAAATGACTTACCTTGACTAGAATCCCACATCGCATTGTGGCCAAAGGTAGAATCCTGGCCAGTTATAGTGCCTTTTGTTGCTGTAAATGCTTGCTAAACAAGTAACACATTCTGTGCCATGATTACGCTTCTTCTGTTTCCATTTCTTCTTTCACTTTCTTCAGAGGGGTGGCAAATACTGCCATCAGGTTAGGGTGGCGATAATACACAGAAAGTCAACACAATTACGAAACTGGGATTTTGGGTGCCAGGCTGAGCTCAAATTTTAATGTATACAAGTCATGAGTATAAGTCGCCGGACCAGCCAAATTATGGAAAACAGTGTGATTTATAGTCCGAAAAATCCGGTACAGTAGTGTTGTGTCGCCACATCCCCTGACTCATGCATGATAAGAGGGGTCTTCTCTGTGGGAAAGCTTAACTCATGTGTGCAGTGCTCAAGCCCAGTGGGAGTAAAGCAAACGCACTGCAACAACACGTCGTCACCCCTGGTGTGAAAACGCCGACCGCACGGGCAGATGAAAGCCTGGCGGAGGCCCCGCCGGCGCGCCACTGTCGCTTTGAACGGTAATCCCGGGGGATTCTCGCTTGTTTTATGAGCTCTGCTGCTAACTGAACGCCGTCTGGCACTTTGGTACGACTATGCAGCATGGTGGCAAGCAAACATACAACCGTCCTGTCTGAGTCCAAGTGAGCTGTTTCAACAACCCCTCGCAAAAAGCACGGCTCCATGGTGACGGATGCAAGAAACTCATCAATGTGTCACAACAATCATCAGTGAGGCTTTTGAGCTTTTAGGTCACAGGGTTTACTTATACTTGAGTACACAAAACAGCAACCAGCTTCAGCTCTTCAGCCTGCCCAAATCCAACATTCAACCCAATCTGCAAAACCAACCTTGGGTAAAAATCACTCAATCTGCTCTAAATCCACAGCTACCCAGCACGTGGTTTGGGAAAACAACCCAGCATTTTTTAGGGTGTACTTTAAACAAGTGTGAATCCAACTCTTGATTGGAGGGCTTATATGCCTCCTTCCCTCATTCCTACTCAGGAAAAAAAAAACAGGTTTCTTCGTACATATACTGTGCTCTGTCCTATGCTTAGTTGTTGCTTCAGTTTCTCATTTCCTGTTTGGGGTGTGCATCAGATGTTGCGTCCTCGTGCACACACGAAAAGCTCGCGATGAGAACGAGATGGAGTGAAGCAGTGGCACGAGGTCTGTGAGAATGTGACCGGGAAGGAAAAGAGGAGGAGGAGGCGAGGGGAAGAAAAAAAAAATCCTGAGAGATGACATACATGCACTAAAAAGCAAATGTAAAATAAAAATGGTTGGAAATACAAAGTGGCTGATTATGCTAATAACCACAGGCTCAGGCTTGCGGCTGAGCTCATTCGGCAGGATTGTTTTCCATCCTAATTTAATTTATGAGGAATCTGGGCCGCTTTCACTTCCCTGAGCTATTACTTTTTATTTGTTTTAATTATCTGCCATTTTCTACCTTTCTTTTTAACAAGGCCGCGCTGTGTGGAGAGGGCTGGCTGTGACTCAAAAACCCCTTTCACGCGACCTATAATTTTACAATTTTTCCCGGATCTCTGTTCTGGGTGAACAGCACTGACACACAAAGAGCCAGTGAGGGGTGGGCGCGTTCTGTACCGTCTTCACATGTTGTAACAGAAGTGTAAGAAGAAGGCAGCCATGTGAAAGGGAATACTTTGAAAATTCACCTATATGAGTTCTTCAAAATTATGAACCTACAAGCCATTTAGGTAGAGATACAACTTTAATTTGTTGTTCCATGACCATGCTCGTATCTCAAATCATCTTTCACTATACCATACACAGTATATGTGTGTGTGTGTGTGTGTGTGTGTGTTGTGTTAAAAGAGATAAGAATATGATTACTACTGCTACTTCTATGACTACTATTACAAAACAACAATCATGAGAATCATCTATATATATATATATATATATATATATATAAAGTAACATCACAATCAGATTACCTTGTACAACTATTTTCATTATTTTAAAATCTTATTTTTGATAGAATTTAATGAAATGAAATAAATAATTAGGCACGCCTGTTACCTTGATGTGCCCCATGTGAACCAAATCATGACCTTAAATTTTATTGCAACAGTGATATTTGGTGCACTGTTGCACCCCGGGAACCGCACCCCCTGCCCCCTGTCCCAGAATTTTAAAAACTATATATTTAAATTGGTCATTTAATTTTTATACGCTGCCTCTTTTTTAATAATTCTTATTACTTACAACATCCCCTCATAAAGACTGGGAGTGAAATCAACTGTTTCTTTCTTTAACTGGCTTTAAAAAAAACTGCTTTTAATGTGGAAAGGTAAAAAAAAAAAAGGCAGCATAGAAGACTCCTTGGGTAGGTAATGCGCCGCATTTCTTTTTCCTCTTACATGAAATTTCCGTGCTCTGCCTTGCCTGTGGTTCAGTGTGCAATGTGTCACCTCAATATGTTGATTTACTGATCAACAGGAAGGTTGGCTGCATGGATTCATTTATGACTCAAAAGGGACCTAAAAATGCAGACTTCTCCAGGAACCCAACGTCTGAGCCCAGCGAGATAGAAGGGGGAAATAGCACACTGGGAAGGGTGGCGCAAGAGACGATAAACCCTCTTCCTAATTTATGTTAAATTTAGTTTCTGAAGTCCTGCCCACTGGAGGAAAAAAAAAACCCATATGGTTTACATTAAAAGTGCAACCCCTGCATACCGCTGAAGTTGAGGTCTCACTGGTGACCTATTTGATCACAGGAGAGACAAGTACGTGGGGAAAGAAGACTCAACAATAATAGCTGACATCATTAAAATGTTAGACAGGTATTCAGTTTATTATTCGGTAGCTATCGTGGTGAGATGGGATTTCCAGAAAAATTACTGATGAAGTGTTCCTGAGTCAACATGTGCGTCTACAAAACTGCACAGGAAATGACACACTTCCTAAATTGTGAAAATATTAATCATAAACATTCTTAACTTACTTGAACATGAAGTTCATTTTTTCCAAATTAAAAAAAAAAAAAATCCATTCTGAGACATTCTTTCAAATGTGTGTTTTCAGTATTCAAAATACTGATCAAACAAATACAAAAATAGAAACAAAAATAATACAAAACAAATGCACAGTTTCCACTCATTTTTGGTCCAAATTGTCTATTGTAAACGATATCATGAAATGTGATTTTTGTTTATTTATACAGCGATTGGCCCGTGACCCGTACAGGGTGTACCCCACCCGTCCGTCCCCTTCTCAAATTCAACTGGGTTAGGTCTGATATGAAAAGATTTGTTTAAATTTCATGCTTGATGGTTAGTCAGGCACCCTTAAGAACCAATCTGCAGACAAGACCTGAAAAAGTCAACTTTCCATATGTGCCCTTTAAGTAGCAGCATGACAAGATTTATATATTTATTTATTTGTTTATTCCGTGTCAGGCAGGAAAAAAAGGGCCCTTTTGAGTAACGTTTTTGTGTGAATTGATCTCTCGAAAATCTGGTCAAAAAACACCTTCAAATTAGAGTCGTAGATTCATGAATGTAATGCCGTTGGAGACTTTCTGAGGATCTGCGAGAACCCTTTATTGGTACGTGAGTGCGCAGTAACCGTCTGTTGTGGAAAAATAATCACGGAAAAATACCAAATAATCCACAATGAAAGTGCAGTTAAAAAATTTAAAAAATAATTTGCAAAACGTAAACTGCGAAATAGTGATAGATGACTCCTGTGACTTTTGGCACACCCTACAATGTGTATCTTAAACTAACACACTAACTAACTAAATAACTTTAGTTATCAAGGTGAGTTAGTCATAAACTAGGAAGTGTTCAGTGACAATGGTTTATATAAGTATGACGTATTTTGAATGTTTCAGTGAGAAAGTTGAAAACGAGAAGGTAACACACGCAAGTGTTTATAACCGCTGTTGGCTAAAATATTTACGATTGCATAACGAGCGATAAGAGAAGTTGGGATCCTTCAAGTATGTAAACTTTGGAAAACTCATCTTATCTTTCAGCTCAGGAGAGGAAGCCTCTGAAAAACAGCCTCAAGGGGATTCAAGAGCAAACACTATTTGGCTGTGGTTTTCCATGCTGCACAATAATAGTGACGAGGTCTGCATCGGGGGTCCGTTTCACGAATCAGGTTTAGTAAAAACTCAGGGTCTGTTCATCCTGAAATGAAGGAAACTGAGTTTTCTGTTTCAAAAAGGGAGATGTTTTTTTGTACAATGTCAGAGATGCTGAGCACTTTAGTAAGGCAGCTGTATGCAGAGTGGTCAGAAATGGGTGTGTTTTGTAAGGCCTAACAGACACACAAAAATGTGTCTGTTGCTCGTTCCTACCGACTGCTGTCAGGCTGCTGAATAAAAAAATAAAATGATGTGATGTGAAAACAATTGTAAATAGTACGGCCACCTTATCTATATCTATATTATATTGCACTTAATTGAACGGTGTACATTGAAACTGTAACATTTATTTTGTGAATTTGTGAATGCATACACTTTGTTTTTCTTCTTTCTTCTTTCTACCCACAATCTTGCTGCTGTAGACTGTAAATTTCCCCAGTGTGGGACAAATAAAGGATATCTTATGTTATCTTATCTTAATATTTCATCTTCAGCTATTGCCAAGTGTGCCTCCGCGGGGTTGCACCTAAATGAAACTAATTAATAGGCTTTCATTCAAGCAGTTTTCCCTTTGTTATATTTTGTGAGCCTCCAAAGGACAACGTTGAAAGTTACGCATCACCCCAAGCGGCCAAACACCGTCTCCCTCTAGTTAGGATGTTGCACTTCTTCCTGAAGATGTGTTCAAACTCGCCGTATGAGCGTATTAATATTCCAGTTCGAGTAAGATAAAAAATTGCAGCCCTCCTCTTCCCCGTTGCCATGGTGATTCGTCGAATCGAGGATCCATCGATGATAGCTTTTCATAGTTGTGGTGCGCGCGCTTAATTCCAGGGAAAGACACTCCCAGTTGATTACACTGATTCAAAACAGCTGTTCTGGCCCGGAAACTCAGATTTTCCTATCTCAGAATAGATCAATTTAGGGTTCAGGATTAGACACAGAATTTGTTGAACCTGCTTTGTGAAACGGACCCCAGGTCTATGTAATGTATACCGCCCTCAATCTAAAGGCCTCATCCTTCACTGGCCCGCGGCCCAGGAATGTCACTCACGTTCCGGCGACCTTCATCTGTCTCTGTGTTCGCTTGCTCCCTTTATGTTTGTTTAACTTTGTCAGGACCCCCCAGAGGCACCATGCTGGAGCATCGAGCGCCCAAGAGGACAGCAATCTTCCTCCTCCGCTACCCGGCTTGCCAGATTCCCTCCCACACCGTCTCTCCCACTCACTGTCTGCGTCTCTACTCTCGCATGCGGCGTTGACGTCAGCTCCGGTCCCACTTTAGTCTATTTTTTTCCACCTACTAGTAAAAGAGACAGGAGACATGCTCCACTGCATGCAGTGGTTGGAAGTACTAATACAATAGTACCTTAATTTGTCCCGTGACCAAGCATGAAACTCAAATTACTGGTGTGTCAAATCCAATGTTCCTATTGAAATGAAGTGAAATGCTGTTAATCCGGATGAATATAATGTAAATTAAATAAAAGAGGTTCTTGTGCACAAAGAATCAGAATGGATTTACATCAAACCTCAATTTAACGGGCCTGGAACCAACAGACCCTGGATTCAACATACAGAAAATAGTGTCAAGACATCCCAGTAAGCTTTCAAAGTCTAATAGTTCCAGAATTGGCCATCACTGGCCGCAATCTGCCACAATGGCAGTAAACAGCACTATGGCGCCACCAACAGAAACCGTCATATCGCAGACAGAGTACCGCACATTCTCAATCCAGGTCACTGGCGTCCTTATGAGGCGGACAGGTTAGCAGGGGAAAGAGAGAGTCCTATCAAATGTAATTGAAATCATAGACATTAGCATAGCACCATCGTGGCTACTCAGCTCAAAGAGAACATGTCATATCGATCTGTTGTTTTATCTGGAATGTGTTGTGAACGTGTTTCTTGAGCATGCATTTTTTTTGGGTGCAGTACACAATTCGTGTGTGTGTGTGTG